ATAAAATATCCCCTCGTCAAAGAGTACTGTATCAACTTCATATAACCGACAGGTAAATTAATACACTTTACTAAATCAGATATAATCATAAGTACGTCCTCTATCGGTATATTTGTAAACAATGATGCAACATCAAAACTCACCAATAGCTCGTTATCACTAACACGTACCCTTCCAACAACTGTACAAAATGTGTAGAATGTCTCACATAGCTTGATGTTTTACCCGTGAAAGGAAGTAGTACGTCTGACAGGAAACGAGCAGTCTTACGTGTTGGCGAGTCTATTTGACTCACCATAGGACGAAGGGGTCATGCCTGTTTGTGGATTTTAGGCAACCCATAGATCTTTGGTGGTGTGGGGTTCAGCGGACGTAGGACGTCGTATGAAAGGTCATCCGGCAGAGATTTTAGTAACATATTCAAGCCCATGGTCAGTTCGTTGGCAGGGTTATGGTCGAAACTAGTCGGACCGCTTCCGACTAAAATAGGACGCGAGTAAGTCCCGTTACTTTTATATTAGCTATTCATATATTAGGCTGCCATCACTCGCTCAATATAATCACTATAAGATGATTCAAATTTCAAATCAAATCGCAAACAACGAAAACGTTTTTCGGGATATTCGATTACTTATTGCTCGGGAGTTTAGTAAAGGGTACATACCTCTTATGGACTCTTGACAGATTTCGCTTACAAACAGCCTAACAATCAGCATGGCGGAGGATCCCAGCCCAGCGATAAATACAGCCAAGAGGATCACTTCCACTTGGGTGACAGTCGCTATTAGACCCCATGATATCTGAAATAATACAAAACAGAAAATGTATTACATTATACAATAAAACAAAAATGGCGACAAGTTAATTTGCTACTCCACGTACCCGTTAGTTTAACTATTTTCATGCAGTTATCTTTAATAAGAAAATAATAAAATAAATAACACATTAACTGCCTTCGTTGCCAAACGGTTACCAAGCTGCTCTGCCACGGTCCCAGGATCGACTTCCGGGCCGGGAGAAGTATTTATATGTCCTACATTTATTTCTCTGTTTTGTGAATAGATTACTTAATAGTTACTACGTAACAGATACATGCTATCATAAAAATAATACTAATGGAACGCATAAGGGCCGAACAAACAAGTACCTACCTATTTTAACTGTCATCTGTATATAAACAATACGGAAGTTGTATACTGCATCGATGCAAACGCGCTTTTGCATCGATGCAATCGCCTATAAATCTCAATAGCGATGCAATCGCGCGTTTGTTGACGACTAACGACTGAATCGCGTTTGCATCATACACCGCTCTAATAGTGAAGATAAATACAAACAAACATATATTCATTATTATAAAAAATCTTGATATTATTTTTGCCATTGAGTACATTGTAGTTTTGAAAGACGTAGGTACCTAATACCACAGAAAAACGATGTCACGATGGGAACATAATATGCTATTGTACGATGGACTTATTTCGCTTAATGGTCCGTTTTGTGAAACTGCGGTCTTTGTCAATGGTGAACTAAATTGTGTTCGACCAGGGCCCCGAGCTGCTAATTTTCTTAAAACCACTAGATATTAAAAAAAGTCACACGCTTGGCCACAATCTCACCTGATGTTAAGCGACGATGTGACCGACAATGGGACGCGTTTGCCTAAAAAATGCCTATTCACTCTAGCCTTGGATTGCCCCAAATTGTACTTTTCGGGAAATACAGATTCCATTGCCGTACGCATCAGAAAGGAGGAAGCAAAGCGCTTAGTGCGAATAGGTGGAATATCAACGACATAAGGACGGAGTGTTCGGGATCTTCTAGAAACCTTTTTGTTTAGAGAACAAATTACTGTAAATGAAAATATCGTGAGAATTAATGACAAAGGACATTTACTTACAAACATCATAATAATTGGACGTAGTTAAGCAAAAAGGAACCAATCCACAAATTCGTCAATTACGACGATTCGATTGTACGATTCCTAAAGTCTAACCTCTTAATAATATATATAATATAATAAAAAATATATCCAAATTATAAACATAAATAAATATCTCTGGAGTTACATGACATTATAAGTTTTGAAAATAAAATACCAGTGATAAACACTTTTAAACTTCAAACTATCATATCTCGAAAATGACCGGATCCTTTTTGTTTAACTACGTCCAATTATCCCAATAATAACATTTTATAAAAAGTTTCCGTCATTAAACATTAGTTTGGAATCTCTGTTACATTTAAGTTTTTTTTAGTGCAAGTCTTTGAAATATTATAAATTAAAGGAAGGAAATTGTGAATCCACTTTCCATTACATTTTTTAACGAGATTTGAGCTTACTGAAAGTGAAAGGGGAAAACTGTAACCTATCACAAATAACCTTAGGATTAGGCAGCTAAACCCTAGCCATAAACTACAATATGTTATTTTCAAAATACTAACCTCGTAAGACTATAGTATCACTAACATCGTTAACAACAACTTTTGTTTCTATACTAACATTAGATTTCCCTTTTGTACAAAAATAAAAATATGAAAACAGACCGTTCTACACCGTATTAAGACAACTCTAGTACCTAGCAAAAGAAAGCATCACTACCAAATACCTACAGATCTAAAAGGTGTCAGATGGTACAAGAGTAACTACAACTCCATTATAACAAACCGACCTGAAAAGTTCTTGGAATTAAGTGTATACGCAAAGTTTTTTTTAATACAGTTGCTCAAAACGTGGTATTTTTCGCACTACAAATCGTGCGGAAAGTTGGATTTCTCGCACTAGTGCTTTTTACTTTTCTAGTTTTTTTTTTTAATTTACTGTTGTTTTAAGTCTTAAACATAGAACTAAAGAGATTGTATATTTATTTCACATTTATGTGCTTTGTGACGTAAGTCATTCGTCATTAAAACTTATATTTATTTACAAATACTATATAATGAACGTATCTAGTGGAGGTCTCTGCCTACCCCTGAATGGGTGACAGGCGAGATTTTTATGTATATATTTGTTTTATGTATTACAGATAAATTGTATCTCACTACCGTGCACGGGTTCCTAAAGAAGTTTAAACAAAAGTACCAGGACTTCATAATAAGAAAAGTGGTTACAGACCGATATTACAGAAAATAAACAAAAACAGCACGTTAGAACTATATTTCCATAGACATTTAAATAATGGTTGCAGTGGTTGTATTTCATTATTTAAATTTACTAGCAGAAAATGAGTTTTGTTTAAATACTGTTTTATTTTACTTTCAATGTAGTTTTTTCGCAAATGTATTAAAAAACGTCGTTTGATACACGACCGACCGTGCGGATTTGTTATCTTCACTTGTCTCGAGTCTTGACCTTCGCATCTGGCTCGGGCCAAGATGCCTCGAAACTCGTGAATAATGACTAACTTTCCGCACTTGTATCAAAAATAACTATTTTTATAATATCAAGTGACGGGACGAACAAGTCGTGCGCCTGATGGAAAGCTACACGCCTGTCCATAACAGTTGCAGTGCCATTCAGAGCTTTAAATCGCAAAGATCTGAGAGGCACTGCCACTGCGCCCGTCACCTTGAGGCATAAGTTGACAAGTCCCTGTAATTTCACCAGCGTCCTTACCCTTCCATGCGTACCCTCTTTCCAACAAAAAAAGAATCATCAAAATCGGTTCATAAACACACAACAAAAACAGTCGGTTAAAAATATACTTGCATTAACATAATGATAATTGATTAACATTAACATAACGATACAGCAATTCTTGAGCGGTACAATGGACGAGGCGGTACAGACCACGTGATAAGTATTGCTATAGGAACGATGGCCTTATAGATTGGTTTACACTAGATAAATACGAAATGGTAAGTAGGTTTATACTTGACGGCATGTTATCTCGTATAAACCGGTTTTACGAATTTATAAATATGTAATACTTATATGGTGTACCATAATGTTATACAAGACCGTAGGTAGCTCGATTTATAATTTTCTTTATGGATAAGGGCCTGGAGACATGTAAAGGGAGAGAGTAGAAAAGTGGACCAGAAAGGTAACAGAATGGTTACCAAGAGAAAATGTCAAGAGAAAAAGAGGTCATCCCTTTAAAACATGGACTTAAAAAAAATAGATGGACCTCTAAGGACTACGCTGACAAAGGACAGAGCCAGAAGGATAGAGCTGGGAGAAACTTATGCGTCTTCAGGATGCGCTGATGTTATAGATTAAGTAATTTATGAATATAATTATCAATATAATTGAATTTTCTGTATAATATAGGTTAATAAATAAATAAATAAAATTATAGAAGTAAGGAAATAAAATATTTTTTTACTCCTGTATTTTAAAATGTCAATTATAACTTAATAGACCATATCAAAATGCTGCTCTTTTTAGTTCTGAACCAAAATTCTGTTGTCTATGGTATAATGAGGGTTCTTAGAGCCGAGTACCGTGTTTAGGCCACGAGGCTTTGCCGAGGGGCCTAAATAATAGGTACGAGATTTTAAGACCTAATTATGTAATGATTGCATACAATACTTTTTCCACGAGTAAATAAAATTATGAAACAGAACCGATATTTAATGTACTTATATTTTGTTAACAATCCATGACAATAAACGCATTTTTTAAAAATAAATTTTAACCCATTTATTAGGGTCGGCAAAGGTTTCACAATACAGCCCCTTCATATATATTTAGACGAAAGCTTAATAAACACTTAGAATAATAACGCATAGAAACCTAGTCCGCACACGCTAAGTGAGGCAAATTGAAGCGCGCCCAATGGGCCTACACGAGCGGCCGGGCCTTCAGTGCTCAAGGTCAACTTGCACTGCGAACAGATCAAGAATTTTAGCTAAAAATGACGAAATGTGCGGTAAATGATTGTAAAAATACGTCAGACAAACATAAAATAGATACTAACATCAGATTCCACTAGGAAGTAACGCGTTTCAACTTGTATTTTTATATAAATATTCACGAAAACCGATAATTAACCTACTACTAAAACTAGCCTACATGAATTTGATTTTTGCCTCACTTGTGACAGTTCGTTTGATATGAAACTATCATTCTATGCGTTATTATTCTAAGAATAAACACTACAAAACAAAAAACCAAAGAGAATAGAACTGGCCAAGTACCGCATAAATTCTAACCAATCAGAAGGAAGTAATGCGTTTGAGAAGCGTCATATTTGATGTTTTTATATTGTTTCTAAATAGTATTTCTTGCCAGATGGTTACGCCTTTGTCAAGAAATAACTATGTCATTCTCGTATGAAAAAGAAAAGAAATTATATTCGCTCTTGTCTCGTGACTCTGTATGTAAACAGATGTTTTTATTTTTGTCGCGTCAACTTATGTAAATACACTGAAATACACAGTATCTAAATTATTTATCCAGGGTTCTGTCTGCACGTGGTAGCATTCTGCTCCAACATTGTGTTTCATTATTTTAATTTACTAATAGCAAAAATATTGAATGAAATCATTACATAATTAGGTCTTAAAATCTCGTACCTATTACCTAGGCCGCTCGGCAAAGCCTCGTGGCCTAAACACGGTACTAGAGTTTAAGAAGTCTCATTATGCAAGGATTGCATAAAACACTTCGTGGTAGTTACACACTTTACAGGTCCCATTTTTATTTTTCTTATTTTTATTACAGCAAAATGCTGAAGCACTGTGAAATTCATAAATAAACAATTTGTATTAATAATTCACAGACGACAGACGTTCATCTATCCTCTCACAAAACCTGAAACGTTCATCACACATAGGCACCCATCCACTTGCAAAATCATCACAATCTGGTGCAGATACGAGAAGCGCATTAAGACAGTGCAGAGAGCGAACAAGCGGTGATTAATTGTGAAATGCCGATGCGCAACTCCGGCACTGCCAGCAGATGATGAATAGAATAAATTTATTTAGCGGGGGGACGAATTAAACCCCAGACGCCAAGGAGGAATTTCGTAGGTTATAAAAATGGATAGTACTCATGGTTACGATTGTGACGGTGTGACCTCCTTGCATCGTCATCGCACCTTTTTATCGCCTTTCTCCGGTTCCTGGCCACTCGTATTTAAATCCATCGATCCATTTATGTAAAGAAGAAGGCAAACTAGCCGACGAGCCACTTGATGGGTGGTCATCGTCGCCCATGGGACATTTACAACATCAGATGAGCTGCCTATGCGTTTACTAAGTTATAATCATTATAATACAATCTAAATCATGTGTCAATTCTAATAAGTGTGTAACAGTCTACAGCCTTATCATGTACCTACGAACACGGATCTGTAATTTAGTATATCTCGGCCCTTTTGGGGTAAGTATACTTAATATCTTAATATTTATCATCATTAAGTTAGGAAGTGTTTTATAATAATGTACCTATTTTTCTATATATACCTTTTATTGTTACAGCCTTTCTCCTTACTTCTTTGTTACCATTTCTTCTTAACCCGACTTTTAATAAATTTGTGGACGGGGAGTTTTCTGTTTTATTGCCGTGAACCTGGTCACGGCTTGGTTACAACCCTTTCACGATTGACTGGATCAATTAATTAATGTTCATTTTTATAAACAAGTGTATCAACTTACCACATAGCTCATAGCAGCCAATACAGCGCAAGCCTTTCTTCCTATCACATCAAACAGAGCTCCGGCGATGATAGTGCCAACCACGGCTCCAATAGAGGACAGGCTCCCAAATAGAGATATCTCAGCGTCACTCATTGGCCGATGCAGGGGTGTAGAGTTAGACTTGAAGATTTGTACAGTGACAGAAGGCCAGGCGAAGAATATGCCCATGCTTATGGACAGGTAGCATACTGGAATTAAGAAATGTTAGCATTTAATTTCAAATTTGCTTTCAATTTTATTTCGTTCCTTACTTTGTTTGTTATCTTAAATACGAGTTTTATCTTGTTATATAGCACCTGAAGTAGAAGTATTGTGCTGTATCCGGAGGCGGGAGCCTAGAGATCTGTCACACAGGTTAACGCCTGGTATGGACTCCATTCTCTTACCAAGGGTTTTCTTTTTTTTTAGTAAAAATTCAAGTTAGCTACTTATAAGTTTATTTGTGAAGGACCTTGATAAGAGAACATAAAAATTGTTATTATTAGGTATGTCATAGGAATTATCAATTTGTTTTATTATTTAATACATTCGCGACGTGTTGTCCATGCTTTATGATTCTAAAATACAATCACTATATATGTTCACAGTATAAACACACAGTATATTTATACGTTGCCGACATAATGTACACAGCGCATGGTATATTGCATTTTAAACGATTAACCACAATATTTTAAGTAATTTAAAAATGCTTTTTTTATAATTAATAAACAAAGATCGAACACTCAGAAAAAAATCACTTCAATCCGGTTGGATTCGAACCAACGTCTCCCAGCAAACCGTGCCAGACGCTATGTCAACTAAGTGTTAGTTAAGTTACCGCCTTAGTCAGCCGTGACCATGGGACCTGTAAATGGCCCGAAACTATGGTTTATTTAAAAAAAAAAGAAATACGCGATTTAGAAATATTCATTTACTATGGGTGGGTAACAATCGCGTTTTCGCGATAACTCGATTATTATCGCACGGTATTATTTTCATATCCAAGTACAATTTTATTATTCAAATTGACCCAAATTACTATAACCGTGTTGAAATTATTGACTGAATTGTTAAACCCATTTGTTGTTTATAGCCTTATTCCACGTCCCGCCCCTTTCTACTAACTATGGGAAGAATGCAGTGTTGTCACGAATTATTAATGTACACTTTAGTAACATCGACCCTTTCATTGGTAGTAAAGAAGGTTTCTTAAGAAATGTTAAGTCTGTAGGTCAAATAGATCCGTAACATCTACACCGTTTGTTAAGTTTTTGGATATCTTTACACGTTACATAATCTGCACATATTTTCTAAATGTTTTAATAAATAATTGCATGTAAAGTTTTAAAAGTTTTTTTTAATATAAATATATATCGAGTTCTTAGGTTTTCGCGATTGTTACACATAGGAAATGAAACTATTTTTCCGGATTTAAATCGCGTATATTTGTTTTTACAAACAAACCGACGTTTCGGGCCATTTACAGGTCCCATGGTCACGGTTGGTTGGTATATAAATATATGTTATCATTAGTTATATATTAAGTATATGTTAATAATATATGTAACATTACAACACATAAGTTATTATGTGTCGTGAAATTATATTATTAGACTTAAATTTAAACATTAAATTTATCTAAGCTCATTGTTAATTTTGTTTTGTTGACTTCGTTTAAAAAGCTCAAAAATTATATCATTGTGGATAAAACTATTTTGGCCTAAGGGTCTTTTCTAGAACTCTACTCAATGCTTAAGTCAGGACTTGAGTATGATTCAAAGCACTAGAAATCATACTCAAGTCCCTGCCATTAGGGTCGTATTTCCAGTCCTTGTGTTGCCAGTGCAAAGTGCGACTTGAGCATTGAGTAGAGTTCTAGAATACGACCCTAAGTTATTTAAGACAAATATTGTTCGTTGTAAGATGCATTTAAGGTGGCTATTGTTATTCCTTATTAATACAATAAATAGTAAAATAATGTACATAAAACAAGGCCACAGCGCATTCCCGATAGCTACAATTTAGGGCTGTTGCAGGGCTGTAGTTTGGTTTTGGGCCTACCAATTCAAACAGCAAAGGTACATAGCAC